GAAAAGGGGAAGGAGTTCGAATTCGAAGAAAAATAAACTGAAATCAAAGGAATTTACCTTAATCTGAAGCGAAAGTTGCCGATTTACGAGTTCGTAGTGGCAAGTCTCAGTTTCTAAGCTCAATGCTCGGGGAATTTGCGAAGTTTTGATGCGGGTTCTTGGTTTCTCTCTCGAGAAATTCTGGGTTTGTGTTGGTGAATAAGTGAGGAGAATGACGCGCCTCTGTTTATATCTCCAGGTACGGGATACGAGGAGTCTGTGCTTTAATTTCTCTTAAGTACCCACTAAGTAACCATTAAACACATGATCTTGTGATTAAACTGCCCATTATCCGTCCAACTTCCGCAATCATTAACCGTTGTTATCTCATTAACTACGGTTTAAATTCAAATTTTTGGATCAATTAAATCATTTACTTCCCTCCTTTTCTGAATTAAATCAAACCCGACCCGTCATCCTTCCAAATCGGGTCTGGGGGGCAAGTTGTTTGGGTCCAATTTAGTCCAATTGGGCCTAAGCACTAAATGATCCAATTAAAAGCCCAAGGTCAAGGTTCAACTCTCCAATTGTGCTAAAGTCAAAGGTCAGCCCACAAAGCAAGCCAATTGGGCTAAGGCCCAACCTCTCCATATATGATGAGGTATAAAAGCTATCATATTGTCTCATTCAAAGGGATATCAATATTGAGATTCATTTGACACATTTATATTCATATATTCTGATATATTCATAAAAGCCTCAAGCTACAAACTCTCTTGCATAGTGTCTACTTCTTACACATTGTACTGACTTTAGCATCGGAGGGGCCTTCCTCGGCAACACCCCCGAGGCTAGTTTACGTGTGTTTACTGTGCAGGAAACCTTCGGCCCAACATAACTTGGACCGAATCCAGTCTTCTCCATTTCAGCGGACCTTCGGCAAGGTCCCATTGTTTTCACCCGAAACAATAAGCATACATTTTTTTTTTTTTTTTTGAGGGAATAAGCACATGATTATATAACAGAAGGAACTGTAGCAAAAGGAGTTATTAGCTAAAAAAAAAACAAAAAGTACATATACAATGTGGCATCTTACTCATTTTTAATAATAACCCAAACATAATGGTATAGGGCAATAATAATCGATTCAAAAAGAAGCATGTTGCTTTGAACATTACATTGTCATTTTAATTGGAATAGAATTGTGTACAAATGTACAATTGTGTAGATATAGGATCGTATTATTGCGTGTAAATCACATAATTGTGATCATTTAAGATCCAAAAAATTCGGTAGTATAAGATTTACCCAATCTAATTTTGATCCCATCAAGTAAGTAACTACCTTTACCTTTTGTACGTTTCTTTCTTTTAGCTTTGGTTTCTCGATTTTTTTTCCCTTAATTATGTGATTATAGGTATTGTACTTTTGTGCTTTACCTGTTCATAATGTTACAAATTGCTTGGTACTTTTTAATCTTGGAAATTGATAAATACAACTCTAAACTAAAGGTTGTAATAAGTAAATATGAAAGTAAAGAGTTAAATGTTTGAAAATTAATGACAATACTTTTTTTTTTTTATTATTGTATTTGTATATGTTGCATATGCTTGGAAATAAAAATTGGCACACATATTTTGACAAAATTGACCTAATGAAAAGTTAACGGCATAAAATATCACTAGATTTAAATGGTGATAGGAAAATTCAAACATGTAACACAGTTACACAGACCATCAAATTACAATAACAACTTTGCTAAGATCATTAAATTAAGCAAGTTAGAGATTAATTTACATAAATTAAGTATTAACTTGTTGACATTATACAAATTAATGGAATATTAAGATCATTGACGAAAAGTCAGGAGTAATGTATTGACATTGACTAAGTTTTGTCATTATTTTTGGCTCTGTACAATAGGGTTGACATCCTTCGCAAGTAATGGAAGTCAATGATTGAAGATGTCGCAACTATACCATGACATTTCCTGGAAATATTGCAGCAACTAACTTGTACTAGATCCTACTCCTACTCCATCGTACCAAGTTGTACTAATCCTAGATCAGAAAATAAGATTAATAGCCTAATAGGCTAGGTTAATTAATTAAAATCTTGATAATTGCATCATTAATTCTTATTCCTTCTATTAATCATGTCTATCCACTACATATTGTGCAACAATGGGTGGCAAAAACAAAATTCCATAATTCATGGCATGGTTCATTAATCTCAACTAGATTTATTATTATTTGGTCTAATCATTGTTGTTCGTAGCTAGACAAGAAACCTTTTTCGAAATTACTCCACTCATTTATAATAATTATTTCACATGTAATTATTCATCCATTTATCTTTGTTTATTTTGTAAGAAGGATGACTATACTAAATCGACACCCCTCACAAGTTAGTCAGTTTAGCTATATACACAATTTTCTATAGAGGAGAAAAATAACGAATCTCAGTTCATGAATTCCATTGAAAGGGGTGGATGAGAGGCCATGTATAGGTTTTGTATATACTCTAACAGTTGATTGTAATCTTAATTATGTGTATATGAAGTACGGAGTATATATTTAGTGCGAGCATTTGAGTCACTCACTAAGTCACTATAATTCACCTTTCTTACTTAATATGTGTCGTACTTGTATTATTTAAAAGCTTTTGGACCAAATTATATAGTACTCCAAAGTAGTTAGTTACGAATTACTTAATAATAATTCTATTTTTTTGTGTGATGTTTAGATAATCAAGTTAGACAGATAAAGGCACCCCTCAAATTTTAAAGCCATAAGTAAAAACAACCCCACAAAAATAAGGAAAAAAAAAGGTTAATGAAGAGATTCACGTTCCATGCACGAGAGCAGCATGTGTGTGTGGCATAGCAGAACATGAGTTGTTTGGTTCATTACCAGCATTTGCCACTTGGTTTTATTATGTACATTTTGGCTCAATTCAGGAAGCAATGCCTCAATAATTTAGTCTACTTTTTAGATTCAACAATTTTATTATTTTTTTTTATTATTATTATATATATATATATATATATATATATATATATATATATATATATATATATATATATATATATATATATATATATATATATATATAATATACTCGATCGTTTCTCAAGTTTGAATCACCCTTTCTAGTCTAGCGAAAAAATGTAGCGTCTCTTTGTGTATCTTAGAGGATAGTCTTATACTCTTATGAAATTTGACAATCCTTTACTTGCTTTACGGAGGAATTTTGAAAGAATCCTAATACAAATCATCTTTTTAGTGAATAAAATATAGTAATAAAAATAGAAACTATAAAAAAAAAAAGTACTTCGTATCCTTTTGTCACTTAATAAGGAAGAATGTGATTGAATATAAAACATATTTCTGGGCCTCAATCATTAGCTTAGGCTTTTGGTTGAGTTGGTCTTTCAACATGATATCAAGAGCTAGTGAGACACAAAGGTCACAGATTTGAATTTCATTCACCCCTCATTTCAAAATGAAATATTAAGTGCAGGGTACGAGGAAGACTCATATTACATACACCTTTCAAGCCCAATTTATGCACTTTATTTTATAGGTTCAATGGGTGTAGGTCACACAACTCGTTCATGTGGCCTAGGTTGTCTATTTTTTGAGCTTCTGAGCAGAGCAGATGTCAACATAACCTTCGTTGTTCATGCTTTATGCAATCAAGATTCCCAAGACAAATCAAGAACAACAAATCCTTTCAAGAGGGTGAAAACAAATCCTTATTAGTTTCTTTTCAGTGTAAATTTCAAATATTTACCTTTTTATAATCTTCAAAGTTCAAATCAATACACATTAAAAACTTATTCAACCAAGTCATTCAAACTCTAGGTAATGGTGTGAATCTTACAAAAAATTGAATTTAAATATAAATAGTTTTGAAAACAAAAATCAGATAAGTTATAATAACATTAATAAGATACTTATTGCTTATTTCGATGATTAATCATCAAATTAAAAAGTTTTTGTTACTAACAAGGTAAGAGATACATGCACCAAATATATTGTTAAAAGATAGGATCGGAATCATGTGACAAAAAGTTAAAAAGCTCAAACTTCAAGATCCAATATTGAGGGAGCAAAATCTAAAAATTCAGTACTTTGAAACTCAAAAATTAGTTAATTGTTGTAGAGTTACCTGCAAGTTGCTACCAACGTACACATACCGTAAAGGAACAGTTATAATTAATGAGATTTCTTTTGAACCATATTTCTATCTTTCATTCAACCAACAGCCTCTGGACTCTGGTACTAAATTTGTAGTACTCCTTACTTATTATTGCACATATAAAGAGAATATGACATGTGATATGTGGTTAGGAGAATCCTCAATACAAAGTAACCCATTCCACCAAAAAAAAAAAAAAAAAAAAATCAAGTCACAAAATCTTGTAAAGTTCGATTTTTATTATATCTTTACTGTAGTGTTTAAACTCTTTTACTATGTTGCTTGTACTTCATTCTCAATAAATATTTATGAAAAGTTGATATTTTGAAAGTATATATTAAAATTACTCCAATAATCTTTTACAGAATACATGATAATATTTGTTTACGTTAGTAAAATTATGTAGTTAAAATGACGAAGGTGAATACTGTTAGAGATAAATCCAATATGGTTTTTTTTTTTTTTTTTGTGGCATAAAAAGCTTAGAAGACATAATACGGAGTATAAGTATAATTTGATGATGTTAGTAATGTGTATGATTCCCAATACTTAACCAACTAAGTTAAGTGACATCTAATCAACGCAATTACAACTTTACAAATGTTATAAAGCATATTGCTTACTACTCCATACTTCCTTTGTTTCAAAATAAATTAATAATATACCGTCTATTTTTATTTTTTATAAATTTATTGTAAACCCAATCCACGTCAGTCCCTATAGAAATAAAACAATTTTGTTTTCCATTTTCTCAATAATTTAAATTTGTACTTATATTGATATAAGGATTTAAAAAATTGAGAAGAAGAAAAACAGTTTAAAAAGGTTTGGTGGGTCGTCTCTCCTAAAGACGGTTCTTCCTGAGCTTCCAGTAGAAAGCGACTGCCCCAACGCATATGACCCAAGAGCAAGCATTTGTCCCCATTTCTCTTTATTTATTATCCTCTCTCCTCTTCTCTTCCATTCTTCTCTGCCCAAGAACACCGACATTTTCCAATAAAGATTCTATCTTTTCATCAATTTTGCTCTTCTTATTAAAAATACTGTATATATATTCAAGATTGGATTTTGGGATTGAAGCATTTTGGTTCTTTTTGGTGGGTTTTGAAGTATTTAGTCTCGAATTTTGATGGGTATTGCTCCAAATTAGCCAATTTTGATTTCTGGGTTTGTTTTTTTGAGTGGGAGAAAAAAAAATGAAACTGGAAGAAATTAAATTGGAAAAGAAAATGTCTTGGAAAAGCAGAGGATTTGATTCAGCTCCAAAAAGTTTGATTTCTCGGAAATTAACACTTCTACTTTGTATTGGTTGTTTTTGCGCTGGGATGCTATTCACCAGCAGGTAAATTTTTATAATTATTGGTCAATTATTGAGTTTTGGGTGTTTTGTTAATCACTGAATTTCCTAGAAATTTACCAAATTGATGAGTTTTTTGAAGTGGGTTTTTCTGGGAATATGTGATTAAATTGTTTTATTATGGCAGAATTTTTGTAATTTACATCTTAATTGCATTACTAGAGCTTAAATTCTCATAATTGGGTGAAATTGTTGATTGTTTGACCTCTAATTATTATTTCCACTGTCACTTTACTCACTTACTATAAATAGATTATTTTAATAATTGTCTTATTGTTCATATTATCTCAAATTAGCTGAAATTGGTGTTCTTGGATATGAAATTTTTGTGGTGTTATGTTGTTAGGGTGGAGTAGGTAAATTTTTATTTTTAATTTTATTTTTATCAGATTGTCAATGTGTAAGTTGTTAAGGTGTTAGCGTGGAATTTAGGCAACTGGATTCCTTTTTTTTGCTATTAAGTAACATATATTTATTAAATGTTTTCTGTATGTTTGGTGTAATTAGGAAAAAAATGATTTTGATGTGATTTCGTGTTCCGGTGATATGGTATTATTGTATGAAATCATGGTCTAACCTTTTTATCTTTTTGAGATAATAAGATCAATGATATGATTAACAACCAAATCGCAAAGAAAGCAATACTTTCTAGTTTGTCCAAATAACCAAATCGCGAAGAAAGCAATACTTTTGTCCAAAATGGTTGTATTTTTCGTTGCTTGGACGATTGAGTCGTTTTCGACGTTCTCTTTAGTGATCTTGGGATCAATGTTCTATGCTGTACTTTTCAAGCAATCAGTGGAATACATAACTAAGTTACACTTTAGGCAATTCAGCAATTACTACACTTCGTATTCATGTTTGTTGCTAAGTGTATTTTAGTCCATTAGTTTGCTCACCTTTTCTCCTACTTAGAAAGTATATCATGGAGTTTTCATGATCGAATGAGGTAATTGCATTGATTGTATCATTTTGGAAAAATTGAGGATAGCTTTCTGAAGAACTTGGATCACTCATTTTTGTTTGACACTTCTACTGCTATTTGTTCAACATTTGGTGCATATTGTCCTAATTATTTCGTTCAAGTTCTCCTCCTCCCTTTAAGTCATATGTTCGGTCTTTCAATACCTCTATGCAATATGCTATACTTGTTTTTCATATCAATATTTAACTTCATGCTTTCAATATACTATACGAATTAGCTAAGCGGTGCCTTTTCTGTTACAGGATGTCAACAGAACCTGAAGAAAAAGGGTTATTTCGACGAGCAACAATGGAAGACGGAAGACAGAATTTAATCAAGGAGGATTGTGATCAGAAAACGGTCAGTTTATTGATATAAATTCTTTACCTGCTTGATTAAATTTGTTTGGAAGGGATCCTTTGAAACATTGGAATGTAGTTAACTTCCAACTTTGTCTGTGCCTCAAATTCTGCATAAGCAATTGTACTAGTAATTTATCAGGTGATTTCAGAATTCTAGCTGCCTTTGTTCTGACCTGTACAAGCCTCTTTTTTTCACAGAAGGATGGGAAAAATGGGCCTAGAAGTATACTCGGTGAAGTTTCAAAGACGCATCATGCTGTACAGTAAGCTAACTATCTTTTTTGTGGTTACTTATTAATAGTGACTTTGGTTGGTAAATTACAAGTTGTTAATGCTTGGATTTCTACTGTATATGTAATGCAGAACCCTAGATAAGACAATTTCAAATCTAGAGATGGAGTTAGCTGCCGCAAGGGCTACACAGGAATCTATAATGGATGGAGCTCCTTCATCTGAATCTACTAGCAAAAAGAGATATCTAATGGTAGTTGGAATCAACACTGCTTTTAGCAGTAGAAAGAGAAGAGATTCAGTTCGCGCAACATGGATGCCTCAAGGTTTGTTAAGTCATCCATGAATTTGATTATAGTTTTCTTTTTTGAGCTTAGCATGAAGTTCATTGAGTAATAAAGTTTTTCTTACTTTGCCTTTCAGGAGAAAAAAGAAAGAAGTTGGAAGAAGAGAAGGGAATCATAATGCGATTTGTCATAGGTCACAGGTAAATAGTTAGTAACCCTTACAAATGTCAGTCATGTTTCACTATTTCATGAAAATCTTTGCATGTTTTTAAGCCCCTGACCATAGAAAACGGCATTTGCATTAATCATAATGCAATATGTTTACTCCCAGAAGAAAGCCCACTGCAATCCGTTCATATCTGGAAATAAGGCATAATCTGCTCATTTAAAATCTCGTATTCAATTACTTCTATTCTGTTATCTTCATATATAATTACTTTAATAAATATGTGGAAGTTGACATAAAATGGAGAACAGCAGATTATGGAACACAATGGTTTAAATTTTCTTGTATTGATCTATTGTGATTGTGAAACAGTGCTCAGTACATGGTCAAACTCTTAAACCGAAGATAAGATAAGGCAATATGTACCCTTCATCAAGAATCGAACCTTCCTCTGTCAGATATTTAAGGAGTTCATCTATTGAATATGGTTGCTGTAATTTTTCTCTATCAATCTGAAGGCGTAGTATGGGCTTCAGATAGATGCTGATCTATATTACTTTATCTAGAAGAATAGTCCATGTTGTCCAAGTGGAGTAACTCTAACTAACTTCACATTCCTGTTGTTTGCACTCTAGCCCACCTCCCTTTCTTTGGCCTTACTCCCTGATTTGAGCCTTGCATTGTGCTAAGACAGGAGTTTCTCCTTACCTTCAATAGGAAGAAAACAACAGATATAAAGTGGAGCTGCAGTTCTATTGTTAATGTTTGCATCAAGGCAAGACACTGCTGTAGAATATAACAGAGCAGCCAGAAAGGCTTCTGGGATCCCTTTAACTTGTAAATGTCGAAGGACTTGATCATAACAACTGCCAATTAAGAATCTGGAAGGTTGGATGTAGGATTGGTAGCTGTCACTCTGTCAGTGGAGAAAGAACATGTGTTTCTCCCCATGATATGCCTACTTGAATGTTGAAAGCATACCTGCAAACACTTTTAATCGGTGACATAAAAGTTGCTGAAGCTTAGAGAAAACTCAGGCTCATCTTTTTTAACTGAATTTATCTGTACTTGTTAGCCTTTTATCTAAACTTATATTGAACATATTGACCCTAATCCGAACTTATTTTAGTTTTTGAATCGAACTTGGGTAGCCCTTACCTGTACCTTTTGGCCTTGTTCTAGACTTTTTTTTCTTCTCATTTGAACTTTTTTTTATTTGAAAAAAATTTGTCAGTGTAGTTCTCAGCTCCCTACCTTATGATTTGTTACTTGTTCTTGTTTCCAGTGCTACAGCAGGAGGTATTCTAGATAAAGCTGTTGAGGCAGAGGATCAAAAGCATGGAGACTTCTTAAGGCTGGTAAGTTGATGGGGACATGACACTTTTCACATATACATTTTTCTAAACTTAATTAAATTTGTCCATCTTGTAATTGCTCCACTTTATTAAGATCTGATTGAGTTCATATCATATCGGAGCAGGAACATGTTGAAGGGTATCTAGAATTGTCAGCGAAGACAAAAATATATTTTGCCACTGCAGTAGCTATGTGGGATGCTGACTTCTATGTTAAGGTTGATGACGATGTACATGTAAATATAGGTAAAAATCAAAAACCTTTATCTTGGTTTAGTTTTCAAGTATTCCTGTATAAAGTAAATAGAACTTCTTTGGAGTTCATATGTTATTTTCCATTTTGTTTTTTGTACTCTTTTACAAACAATTGTAGTTTGCAAACTCAAAACATGCTTGGATGCTCCTTTTCACACTAAAATCTTTTTTATTTAACTAACTCTCCCTATTCTCCAGAGAGTGCTATCACCTAAAACTTGCTATGTCATTTGATACTCTTGGTCTAATATTCTGGGCTTTTCTTTCTGTGATGAATTGCAGCAACTTTAGGAACAACCTTAGTTAGGCATCGTTCAAAGCCTCGGGTGTACTTAGGATGTATGAAATCTGGCCCCGTCCTCGCTCAAAAGTATGTTTGATTTTACTTTTAGACTATCAGGCTACTACTTGTTCAATCCTCGTTATATTTACTTATGCTCTTCCATTTATGAACAGGGGAGTGAGGTACCATGAGCCAGAGCATTGGAAGTTCGGAGATGATGGAAACAGATACTTCCGTCATGCTACAGGGCAACTGTATGCCATTTCAAAAGATTTAGCAAATTATATAGCCATCAATCAGTGAGTTCTGAATTTCTGAATCAATTCTTCTCTAATGATAACAAAGTTTAGCTATTTTGAATAATGAATCATCTCTTATATATCTGTTGCTTTTGAAATTTCAGGCATGTGCTACACAAGTATGCCAATGAGGATGTCTCATTGGGTGCTTGGTTTATTGGCTTGGATGTAGAGCACATTGATGATCGCAGATTATGTTGTGGCACTCATCCTGGTAATTTCTTCTTTCATCATTTTGGGCCAGGATTCTAAGTTGTCCCAGAATTATAAATAGTGTTGATTGATATATGACCTAAAATAAGAAGATAAATGGGAAAATGGTGGAATAAATGAGAAGATAACCATCAACAAAATGTATAAGTGCTAAGTAAATCGTGTTTCAATTCTGTGTCTGTGCATCATTTTGTTTAGGCTATGTTACATGGACTCGGGAACGGGTGTCGGACATGGACACATGTCCAAGTGTCCGATCCGGCAAGTTCCAAAATTTTAGGACACGGGGACTCTGTCCGATATTTGGACACCGGGACGGGGACACGTCAATACGCCACCTAAATTTATATAAATAAATTATATATTACAAAAGCTTTAAATTTTTCATTATGTCTACCCCTAATTTTTTTTTTAATTATAATTCTTTCCTCGGTAAACTCTCCTAATAAATGGCAATCTTCTTCTCTCCATCTTCTCTATATTAATGGTGGTTTTCGAACAAGATATGTTTTTCTTTCATGTTTCTTCTCTTTTTTCCTCTCCTTTCTTAAAAGTGTCCGAGTGCACAGTGAAGGATCGGACACGTGTCCCGTGTCCGTGTCCGTGAAGTGTCGTGTCGACACGGACACTTCGCGATATTAGCCGTGTCCGATTAACATACTTTTAGGCCACAGTCTTTAAGCATATCTTCTGCAAGTACGGAAACTTGACCTTGCTATCTGAGCTTTGTGGTCAATTGTTAGGATTTTAATCGCCAAACAAGCCTTTAAAGCCCCCAACCCCCCTCCCCTAAAAATAAAAAGATGAAACCATTAGCGATTGCACCATGAAAGCCATGTACTTACGCTTTTTAAGTATAAAATTCTATAACGCTTTTGAGCTTGTTTCTTTGTTACTGATTTGTTAGCTGCATGCTTAAGTACTGAAAAATAACCAAAAAAGGGAAAACTGTCACTACTTCTGTAAATTCCAACGTATAACAGCACAAACTGCCTATCAAATACTGATTTTTTTTTATTTCATACCAGATTGTGAGTGGAAAGCTCAAGCAGGCAATGTCTGTGTTGCATCATTCGACTGGACATGCAGCGGAGTTTGCAGGTCAGTTGAGAGGATGAAAGAGGTCCACCGGCGGTGTGGAGAAGGAGAGAATGCCTTGTGGAGTGCCACTTTCTGATTATACGACGATAAGATTCTTCCAACCTCAGGAGGATTTTGATCAAGTGTTTTTAGTAGATTGATCAATGTAGCTAATACCACTGTATGTAGATTTTGAAGATGTGTAAAGTGAGTGCGAGAGATGTTACAGAGAGAAGCAGATAGCAAGAGGGAGGGAGGGAGAGCGAGAGCGAGAGAGGATGTTATAGAGTAGGATTCTGATCTGCTCTCCATTTTATAGATTAGGAGAGAAGCAGAGAGAGTTCTTTTGGATGAACACAGAAAGAAGCGAGAGGGTTGCTTCTTGCAAGCCCCCAATATTCTTTAAATGCTGATAGTAACACAATAAGTATCCCTTATATCCTTAATAAAGCATTTTTTTTTCTCTTTGCAAAAATTTAGCCTTCCTTTTAGCTGTAAATTCAAGTAATTGGTTACCTTTCATCATTATTAGATGAGGACATTATGCCCTATATCCTAATCTTTACTCCTGTCTAAACTTTTCATTAAAGTTGCTAACTTTGCCAATAATGGAGATTGGTCCTTATTAGCATCCCCCAATTTTCATCACACTCCCACCAAGGGTAGATAAACCCATTATGGCAATACGCGGGAAAACAATCAAATTTGAGGCGCTGTTTTTGATATTCTTGACTTAGTAGTATAACATTTGGGAGTTTCTTTTAGACAAAATTGGAGATATTTTTCGAATAAAAACCCGTTTTATGGGATTCATTTGCTCATCTTGATGGATTTTACATTGCTCCGTTTCCCTCTAATTAGACCATCATTTGCTTTGTTTTTTTTTTTTTTTTTTTCAGTCAATTATACTTGTATGTGCCTTACTGGTATCCTATGCAACTATGCAAGCCTGTGTTTTCACTTTTCAGAAGTCAATAACAACTTGTCCAAAAGCCATACTTTTGATAGGCTGAATAAGCTTATCATTTACACTTAGTAGAGCATTACATAGTTTGGGCTTTTGTAGTTTTGGATATTATTTCAAGAGTTTGGCAGACTTATAAATTGGATCTATTTCCTAATTGTCCATAAAAAGTTAAGAGCTAGGTCCGATTGTTCAGTAGAGTATGTGTTAATCAAAACTCGAAAACAGACAACATCTCACTTGAAAAGTGATGGAATAACACAACAATCTATAATACGTTCATTTTAAATAAGAACATAATTTGATGGATAACGGTTAACGTATAACTACTAGTAATTATTTTTCATTACTGCTATGATTTATTGTCAGTTGTACATTTATCACTCATTAAACAATTAAAATGTTTTCTATCTACTTATATACGAAGTATAACAATTGTGTCACACTCTTAATATTATATGCAATGATCTAGGACAAGACCAAACAAATAACCAGTAATTCTATAGAAGACAAGAAGCATATTGGTAACAAGCTGGCATTCCACACACGTGACTATGTGAGACACCATACACTAAAAACTTCTTCACCTCAACCCTTACCAATCAACCTTTCTCAACTATAATACAAGATCATCTACGTAGTGCTCTCTAAAAATCTAAAATTAATAAAAGAACCGAACAAAATTATTTAGTTATGGCAATAAAAGGTTCAATTCTGCATAGTAAATGGCAAACGTCAATCACTAATTCACTACATTTGAGGTTTTATAAGCCGATATTCCATATTTTAGAGCTTAGACTAAGAGTATAGAAACAAGTTTCTTCAGCATTATAACATTTCACAAATTTAATATTCCTTCATCTCAAATAATTTACTTCAATCATTTTTAACAATCTTTATTCCCTAAGGTAAAGAGCTTGTGTGAGTATTGTTTATCCAACATTGAAAAGTAAAGCGGAGAATTATAACCCAAGCGGCTACTCCTCCATCTTATCGTCAATTAGTTTTAGGATGGAACCTTACTGACTCATTTGCTTAAATAGTGGATTTTTGAGAATACACAAGTATGTATGCCGATGTATTTATATTTGTAACAAAATGGTCAAAAGCTACTTGATATTTACTTTAATGTCAAGTAGATTACTTTAAACTTCATCTAAAAATAAGAAAGACCTTTTTAATTATTTTGGTCTTCTCAAAACATTTTGCAAACTACAATCGTATAGCTTTAGCATGCTAAACTCTTGGGCTCTTCTAAGAATGCAACTAATAGAGTTGGTAGTGCACAACGGAAGCAAATTAAAGATGTAGAGATTGATAAGAATAATTAGGAGATAAGTAAAGACAAGATAAGAGTAAGGAAATGGACACACAAGCACAAAAATAATCCTAGGAGAGTACAAGAACCCTTGAAAGGATGAGTATTACAAGAGAACTCTCACTATATGAAATCACAAAGGAGTAGTACAAAAGTAAGAATAGTGGATTCGTAAACAAGGCAAATAGTACAAGGCGGTGTAGTATATAGGAAAGCTAGTGTATGGTATGGCTTCTTATGTGTATATGTCTTGAATGAATGCCCATGACCTATATTTATAGGTGTAGATAGAGCTTAGAAGAATTGGCCAAAAGATTCCAGAAATTCCTCCATCATTCTTGTATCCATAATATTCTAGAATGTTCATGAGCCATGTATTCTAGTAGCTTCCAATCTCAAGAATTCTCTAAAACGATAAAGTAGACAATTCTAGAGAAAATATGAGCAAAGACTATCTTACTTGATTTTTCCAAAAACATCTAAAATATGTATAAATACTCCACCAAAATAATGTGTTTATAAAATTTGTGCTACACCCAACATAATTCCATCACCAACAACCACACTAAAATTCACTCCATGAATTCGTTAGGTGCACCTTTAACTTTTCCATGAGAGTTCAAACCTTAAAATACATTATCTTATATTAAAAAAGTTTGGGACAAAAAGTTACATTTATCTAACACAATTATAATACGAGTATTTTTTTCGGTTTGTCTTTGTCCCATTTTCTTTTTAATTTAACCCTTTAAAGTTTCTTCATATCATAAATAGCCAAAATATCATGATTCTTGAATGTAATGGCTACCCAAAATATCATAATTTACTCTCATATATCAAGAAGTATTATAATACACGTAATTTCATAAGAGAGTTGATAATATAAACGGATTAATTAATCTAAATAATTTATACGCATTTTACCTAATACAACAAATAATCCTTTCTTATTTCTGTGTTAAAATTATTTTGATAAAATTGTTGTGTTGCTACAAAATAACGAAGAAAGTATTCTTACAAACTCTTAAATGGAACTGATTCACACTATTTTATTGTGGACCACTTATATATTTTTTTGACGAAGTGGACCACTTATATTAGTAACACTTTGATTGTTTTATTAATAAAAAAAAATAGTCACTATATTAAAATAAAAATTATTATATATGTTGATATAAAAGTCATTGTGATATTATAAAGGATATAAGAGGGTTTTTTAATGGAATTTTTTATATACTTATCAATATGAATAATAAAGGTCACTATCTTAAAATTAGAAATCACTAATTCACTATGTTTAATACAATTTCAGCTGCGTACGTAAAAACCGTCTGATCCACGATAATATTATTATAAACTACGCCTACACAAGTTTACAAATTTTCTCAGTTTCTCCCTAATCCACCTTCCTAAAAAAGACAATCATTCCATCACATGACAAAATCACAAAATAAAGCAACTCTTTCTTGCTCCACTAAACTCCAAACTATTACCTACTTAAATTCCCACAATCCACAACTTTTATAACTCGTTTTACTACATTAAAACTTCAAAAAATTTCAGCCATGAATAACCAAAATGATGCCCAAAGTTCAGGCTCAACCAAATCTATCCCAAGATTAAAACTTTTAGATTTTTCCCTTAGAATTTCTGTTATTCCTCTTGGTATTGCTTCTTTATGCCTCACTATTAACACCAATGAAGACAATCCTGATTATGGAAGCATTAAATTCCTCAATTTCTCAGGACTCAAGTAATTTTTTTTGTTCTTAATCCATCTTTATTTATAATAATTTCATTTAACAATTTAGTTAATTTATTGTTAACTAATCTAATTTATTTATTTTTTCTTCTGAAAGGTACATGGTTTCTGTTGCTGCCATTGCTGCAGGGTATGCTCTAATTGCTGCAATTTCAACTTGGATTAGTTGTTTAGTTAACAAAGCTTGGATTTTCTTTATCTCTGATCAGGTTTGTTTCTCATTCATAGTATATAAATTTCTGGGTTTTCATGAATTTCGTTGAAAAATTTGCCCCTTTTTTTTCTGGAAATTTGAACTTGCATTGGACATTATGTAATGTATAAGTGTTTATTTCTTGTTGCCAAATCTAAAAAACTGTATGTATTGTAATGTATAGACTAATTAATGCGTAACCCTTGTTGCAAATTTAAATTACTAGTAGCTTAGCTATTTAATATGTGGGACTATGTTTAATAAAGTACTCCACTAAGAATCACACGAACAGTTGTAACTTTGTAAGCTTGCTAAATCATACTTAGTAAATTTTGCTTAGAGAGCAGTATTAGTACTTATTAGGTGCACTTGAGAGTACATGTGTATTTACGCGACGAGAAAAATATATGAGTGAAACAAAAGTGAGCTTTTTAGTTTTATGTCCATTATTGGATTGTTGTTATATGGTGTATTGCCTATAAGCACATACTCTTAAGTGCACCTAATATTGTACCTGGAGTTCCTTATTGAAAAGTGGAAATCTAAGAGCTTGTTCTCGTGATATGAATCCAAAAATAGACGAATTTCATTATACAGAGTATTGTCTAACAAGCCACATACTCTCAAGTGCACCTAATAATTTGCTTGAATTTCCTTATTGTAAGGTGGAAATCTATGAACTTGTTCGTGTGGTACGAGTTTAAAAATAGGCGAACTTCTACTGATTAGAGTTGCATTTATGTGTTCTCGTAGCCTAGAAGAGAAGAATACTACTTGTATGTACTCACAATCATCAACATAGTGTTTCAAATTCGCTATTCACATAAGCTTCTAAATCTTTCTCTTGTAATAGAAAATTGGCAATTTTCACATCACAATAAATAAAGAGTGTAAAAATGCAAAAATGTTCACATTGATTTATTTGAATTTTGTTTGACAAAACAAACCATCAGGTGATGGCCTACTTGATGGTGACATCAGGAACAGCAGGAGCAGAGTTAATGTACTTGGCATACAAAGGTGACATTGAAGTTTCCTGGAGTGAAGCTTGCAGTGCATATGGGAAGTTCTGCACCAATTTGAAAATTGCTGTCATTCTTCATTTTGTAGCTATCTTTTGCTTTCTTTTTTTGGCTGTCATCTCTGCTTTTAGGGCTTTCTCTATGTTTGATCCTCCATTTATTGATACACAGTTAGATGAAGTAGAAAGGACTTGATTTTATTAATGCTCTCAACTAATTACTCTTTTATTTTGTAATCTTTTGATGCCCTTTAGATTAGCGATTTAAAGGTTATCTATATATGATATTAAACTCGTTTTTAACTTTGGTTTTATATATCCTTGTGTATTGCTATGAATCTTGACATGTTTATCGCCTCAAATTGATCGATGCCTGGTTGTAGCATTGATCGCTGAGCTTAGACCATATCACCATACTACCATAGTGTTTTGCTTTATGTAACAATATGATTTGCAGTTACATTGTATATTTATTTCATGATCAACTATGGTATTTCAAAGGATGTGCAGGTTTTTAGTCGCATACACTGATACACTGTTTTCCATATAAGGACAAGTTTCTTAAGAACAAAACATAATCAGCAAAAAATGCTAAACGTTTTAAATAAACAACAGAAAAATGGGAGTAATTAACTAATTATTATAGCTGAAAATAACTCTTATAAGTAAGTTAAACACTTCATCAAATTGTAACCATTCTAAAATACTTATCAATGCTTGAAGTTACGGCTTTATTTTCAACTAAATTTATCTTAAATCATACCATTATAAGGTTTGCAAAATTGGAACTACAATAGTTTCAAAGTCCTCTTCTTAGCCATCAGAAAAAAAAAAAAAAAAAAAAAACTCTTCTTAAATTGATTTTTTACGGGCCGTGCTAGGCCGACTTTTCCTAACTTTTTTGCATACTTAATGATCATGCCTAATAAAAAACAGCCCGCAAATTAGTGCAGCACAATAAGTCTTAGCTACACATTGATAGCTACACCACGCCCTATAATATGCACATATAGTAAAAAAATATGAACACGTAAAAAAAATGAACATTCAATAATTAAAAAATGAACACGTAAAAAAAATGAACATTTAGTATTAAAAAGTGAACATGTTAAAAAAAATGATTATTTAGTATATTAAAAGTGAACATGATTATCATATAATCATTAAATTGATGGACCACGACTTTAAAAATGAACATTTAGTTAAAAAAAATAAATAAAAATTGAACATGTAAAAATAAAATGATCATTTAGTAATAAAAAAATAAACACGTAAAAAATGAATATTTAGTGATAAAAAATGAACATGTAAAAAATAAAATAAAAAATATGAACATTTAGTATAGTAAAATCGTACAATCATAGAATAGCTAGACCATACCTAATAAAATGAACATTTCATAAAAATATATGAATACATATATAAAAAAATAAACACGTAAGCAAATGAACACGTTTTAAAAAAATTATGAACATTTTAATATATTAAAAATGAACATGATTTTCATATATTCATATAGGTTCAAATTCGTTGTATATAATAATTAACAAAAAATAAAGATAAATATTGTTAAATTATGTTCATTTTTTATATACTAATGTTCATTTTTAGTGTACTAAATGTTCATTTTGTAAAAAATGTTCAATTTTAAAGTACTGTATGTTCATATATTTTTTTATTTACAGAACACAAATTCGGTTGTAATTATTTTAAGTCTAAAAATTTGAATATCCACCTTAAATCTAATCTTGGTTCATCATAGGGAAAATAATTATCGATCTATAACATAATAGATTAGGAATCACAAATGCAAAATTGATAAAATCAACAATTTTACAACATTCACATATTTATAATTTTTTTTTTTAAAAAAAAAAAACTCAAAATTACCTCAAGTTTCACGATCGTGACGAAGATGATGATGGAGAATGCTACAATGGTGACGAATTGGAGAATATCCAAATTAAAAGGACGAAGAAGGATAAAGATTGAAGGAAAATGAGGTTAGAAAGAAAATTAACTTATAAAAAAGGGGGGGGGGAAGAGGAGAGAGAAAATTTCAGATTAAGAAGAAAATAGAGAAGAGAGAAAATTAATAGAGGTAAGAAAGAAGAAGAAAGAGTGTTAAGATATAAAGAAGGAAAAAAAAAACGTATGTTCATTTATGAATTACTATATGTTCATATATGAGTGCAGTGGTGCAGCTAACTTAGCTACACACCGAATTTGCGAGTGCTGCATAGACAAAATCCATCACAAAAAGTTGGGCCTGATCTAGCTTGTGTGATTTGGTGGTTCAAACTGGATGGGCCACTACCCACTAGCCAATCCTAATTAGGAAAAAAAAAAATTCTCATTGTAAATTTCAAAAGGTATAGTAGTACAAGAAATGTTCATTAATAAAAAAAAAAAATACCTTTTAAAAAAATAAATTTCTAACCCAGGGAGTGTGAGAATATAGTAATGTCCAGGTAATAATCAGGTTGTTTGAATCGGTTTTAGATCAGGTCATTTCAGTAAAACTTGTTTGGATTGATTTCGGGTCACTTTTAGTTTTAAGATCAAGATGCTTATGTTAATTAAATACTTCAAGATGGGTAAAACCGTGTTAATTGATGTTAAGACTTTAAATCGGGTATTTGAATTTAAGTAATCTCGTATGCGTCAATTTTATCAGGTCTACAAGACTACAAGTGATACAACCGTTGACCCATTGTATAGGATTAGGCCCTATATCATTTGATCGGGCTAAAATAAATTGCCCAATGACTATTGTTAACCCAATAACAGTCTACCAGTTCTATTAGGACTTGGTTAAAATATTGAGTTGCCTATAAATTTTACTGATTACATACGCAAACTTCTGGATTAGTAGGACTCCACATTCATTCTCTCTCCTAGAACCACAAGCAACTCTTCTCTCTCTTCAATTTCTCTCTCTAATTTGTGCCCGATCTTCTTGATCATCTCTGGTATGTTCTTCGATTTTACTTTTCCGCCTTCTTTAATCGGATTTTGTTTCTTTTCTTGGGATAAATGTTTTAATTATACGCATAATTTTGAAACCCTAATTTATCGATTTCGTTTTTGATTTTTGGCAGAATTTGTAGCGGATTGATTTTAAGAATCTGATCATCATGTCGAAGAGTTCTTTCAAACTTCAACATCCTCTTGGTAAATTACTCGATATCTTTCACCATTCTTTCATTGATTAGTTGCGTAATTGATAATTTGATCAATTTTGATTGTGTTTTTTTTTTTTGGAAATTTGTTCGAAATTTGTTTTTGATTTTTTCTTGAACGATCTGATATCTGTGATGATTGAGAAAGCGTTGAAATTTTCCATGATAGGTATAGTAGCTAAGTCTTCTATTTTTTGCTGAATGATTGTTGAAAATATGGAATTTTCCCCCTCTAAATTATTGATGAATGATATGTATAATTATTGATGAAATGAATAATATTTTACGATTATGATGATGTGATACGGCGCTGGTAGATTGGTATTGATTTCGGAGTAATTCTTTTTTTTTGTAAAAAAAAAAAAAATGGTAATTAAGCTTTCAATTGTATTATCCTTTAGAATGTGGGAGGCTGAGAAAATTGTACACACCGTGCTTGGTTTTCCTTTTGTTCTTTGATTGTCTTCAATGTTTATAATATTCAATTTGGACAAAATATGCTGTCGTTTTTGTTTTAAAATTTATGTATGTAAGGGTTAGGGTTGTGTTTGGGATGGTGTATTGATCAATGGGGACTCTATGTATACTTGATTGAAATTGTCGAAAGTATACATGTTTTTTTAATGGGTGTGTGTGATGGATGAACTCGATGTTGAAGCAAGGCTTGATGTGTAAAACATGTAGTATTCTGGTGAATAGCAACTGTTAAGAGCTAATAGCTTGTGGTGTTGAATTTCTGGTCCTTTAAAGTAAATGTTCAATGTTTAATTGTCTGGAGTTTGACTTGAACTCAAATTGGGATGGCTTCATTTAACCCCAAGCTCTTGATTGCTGTTAAAATATTTGGTATATCTTGTGACCTATACTAGAAAATTCAGCTGTATACATTGTTTTTGTGTTAGCTTTGTGCAACATAGTAGTTGGAGATATCAATTTCTTAATTTCTAAAATTTCTTTGTGACAGAACGAAGACAAGCTGAAGCTGCTCGTATCAGGGAGAAATATCCTGACAGAATTCCTGTATGATAATTTCTTTAATTAAAAGACACACTTAGATAGGAATGATTCCCTTAAATCATGATTCAAGAAATATCCTAATTCATGCTTTATGTTTCATAGTTGCTGATCATTTGTATTGATTGCCTTGATTTGTGTAGGTTATTGTAGAGAAGGCTGAAAAAAGTGACATTCCTGACATTGACAAGAAGAAGTTAGTTATCTCTCTCTGTATGCATGTATACGCTTATTGGAGTACTTTCTAGATGACGTGAATACATTTCATGCTTCATGTGGATTTATTGCAGTTGAAATCTATGCTATGTCTAAATCTTAATCTGCTTGTCAAAATAGTTTAGCAGTGACCCATATCAACTGTTCTTTTGTCTTTTTCTTCGTATGATTTTGAGCTTAAATTGACTTTATTAGTGGTGTCATTCTATTCTATAATTAGATCAGGGGGTCTCTTATCTGTGGCTATTCAAGAAATATTTATAGGGCTGTTCCTCTTGGCTGCTCAATAGGTGTTTTAAGTGTTGATGGGCAGCACTTGATGCTGGTGGGCCTGTCCTTTTTCTCCTTTTAAGCTAGGGAGTATACTTTCTGGAGGTTCCATTGAAAATCTGGGACGGAAAGCAGTTTAAATTTACTTTTATTTAAAGAGTACTATGTTTCCTGGTCTAGCCTTTTCTTACTATCAGAGTATCAGTTTAGTTGCAATTCCTTAGTTCTTGAGAGTTTTCATCTTCTTGCTTACATGTCCTAAGTTGTCGAGGTCAAGGTAGAGTTACTAAAGCATTATCTACTACTTATTCTCCCTTAAAATAGACTAGAATGTGCATGCTTTTATGTTCATCATAAACCTTTAATCTAGTTACTTGGGGTTCTATTTTAAAAAGCTTTATACGCTTTATAAATGGTACAAAATTAAATTTTTTCTCCCTGGTTTAGTTTTATACCATAATATACACTTGATACAGATGTTACAATTTCAGAGATTTTGTTTCAATGGAGAAGTCAAGTATGTGATGTGTGTATGTTGAAGAAGCTGTCTGCTTCTGTTGTCATGTTTACATCATACTTGCAGATACCTTGTTCCTACTAAAATATACTTTGTGAATCTGTGATGTATGCTTCTGTTGCGGTGATTGTAGACTCTTTTTGATTCTGATGTTTATACTTGCATCATTTGCTACTTGCAGGTATCTTGTACCAGCTGATCTAACTGTGGGGCAGTTTGTTTATGTTGTGCGCAAGAGGATAAAGCTCAGTGCTGAGAAGGCCATATTTATTTTCGTAAAGAACATTCTACCGCCCACTGGTATGGACTTATTTTCTTACCAAATTTCTGACCCATACCGCTTCACTTGCAGTTTGGATATTAATTTTACTTCTATCTTGCAGCCGCTATGATGTCAGCTATTTACGAGGAGCACAAAGATGAGGATGGTTTTCTCTACATGACATACAGTGGAGAGAACACATTTGGAGCTCTTTAAGTTTGCACTGCTGCTGGTTGTTTATGTAAATACGTTTCTATGATAAGACATTCTCAAGTTTGTATATATAGTTTATGCTAATTATCAATCAAAAATTAATGGCCGAATGCCACTGTTCCTTGGACAACTTCCTCTGAAGTTGGATAATTGGACCTTAATTCCGTAATGTTTATTTGATGCATCTCATACTGTTAGTTGTCATTTCTATGCAACTGCTCTTATTTTCTTCATGTATGACTCACGAATTCTCGATTAAGGTGGTTTGGTGCCGCATTATGAATAATCTTCGAGCTTGAGGTTTATTTTGGCTTATGTAGTGACCGGGATGAGTTACATTGAACCCATCTTTTTGTTACCACTTAAACTCTGCTCTATGACCTCTGGTTATTAGTATATTGTTTCTTATCGTCATAGGCATGCTATATCTATCCATAGGCATTAAGGACAGTTGTTAACTTGTAATCCATTGGCCTTTTGGTTAAGTAAAAAGTAAAGTGTTTTTACTTTGTTAGTTTTAAAAATTATCATGGTTTTAATAAGTTTGACTAATATTTTATTTATTATATGACCTATATTATATAATTTTGAAAACCATAAAACAGAAAAACACAACGATACCAAACGAATCCTAATTTTTTGTTTTCTTGAGCACATTATCATGGTTTTAATAAGTTTGACTAATATTTTATTTATTATATGACCTATATTATATAATTTTGAAAACCAAAAAACAGAAAAACACAACGATACCAAACGAATCCTAATTTTTTGTTTTCTTGAGCACATAAGTATTTACCTAATTTGGTTTTTTCTTTTTTTTTTTTTTTTTTTTTTTTTTTGTACAGTAGTTTGAACTGTTTGGAGTTAGTGAGATTATGTACCTGAGAGTGTAAGGTTCTCTTAGGATCTACTTTGTACTACTTGTCTAATTTGGTTGGATTATGATTTTGGTTTCCTAATGTTTCCCTTTTGAAGTAATTGCATTGATTTATGTATGTACTCTCTCCATCCATCTTAAATTAGGTGTAACCTTTGACTTTACATTGTTTACGAGACATGTTTAATTTAGCAATATATATTCAATTAAGCTATAGCATATGTTACAAAATTATCAATTGATTGAAAATTATTTATAAATTCCCAATAAAATCTCATTTGAATATATCTATCATTGTAATTTAACTGTATATTGATTAAATTACATTCGGAGAATTTTTGACTTTTCCAAACTTTGAAATGAAAATTGGTGCAAGTGCTTTCCATGAACTTCTAGAGGCGAGTCACATGGTTGAAATTGTCAACTTCTCCTTGTATAAATAAACTTAATTGATTATAGGCTCATCTCCCACCACTGATCTAATGCCACCATGAGCTTATATGCGACTGAGTAATGGGTGCATATCTTGACAAACAACATTATATGAACTTAGAATTTATCCACATCATCACTAGAATCTACGACATTAGGTCTTGAAATCTTCCAAAATGGTCTGATTTTGTCAATTAAATACTTCACTTTTGGATTTTTTATTTTTTATTTTTTTTATTTTTAACTTTTCAGGATCTAAAAAGAGAACAGGTCAAGGTGCTTCACATGGACCTCACCTACGAGACCACTTAGTTGGTTGGAATCATCTACTTGTATTATAACTATCAATTTATTTGGCCTCTCCCCTCCTACATTGACTTAAGGCCACTACACGACCTTTTAGGGCTTTTACATAACTGACTAGTGGCATATATGATTTCAAATGATATTATATCACCTTGGGATACATGCACCATCATTTGAGTCTTTGACATTGGTCTTGAAATTTCACTGAATATGTTTTGGTTTCATGGATCATAGCCTTCACTTTTAGAGATTTATTGACTTTTTTTAGTCCTAAAAAGAAAGTAGTTGGGGTGCTTTACATAGACCGAGAATGCTAGTTAAGTGGCTAGAATCATGAACTCCTTGTCCACTATTAATTTTGTTGGTTATGCGAAAACCGGCCACAATGAGCCTTTATATGACCGACTAGTACATGCATAAGGTTCAAAAATACATACATATAAGACCTCAAAATGCGTCCCGCATTAATACTTGAGTGTTTTATTATTAGGCTCCAAGATCTTTGATAATTGTTTTAGTTTGAGTATACTTTTACTTTTGGGAAAATATTCGACTTTCCTTCTGTAAGGAAAGCCATTGAGGTACTTCCCAGGTTGCCACTCGGGAGGTTGAAATCGCTGACTCTGTTTTTTATTAACTGGTTACAAACCCGCCTCTATTAATTGACTTAAGGCCATCATAGACCTTTAGTAGAGACTATATATGATTCCAAATAATATTATATTACCATGTGATGCATCTCCCACAATCACTTGAGTACCAGACTTTTCAACATCTGCTCTTGAGATCTCCTTAAAACATTTGATTGCTTGTCGATTTGGAAACTCACCCTCTAACACAAAATAAAATAAATAGCAAAATACGATAATAAAATAGACAACTGTTTATGAGGAAATTTAGATTTCCTCCCCTCAACAATTGTTTTATTAAGTTCCTATAAAATAAGACAATAATCCTCTTGATGATTTTCCTTCTCAATAAATCATCATTAATGAACCATCTTAAATTCTAGTAAGCCTAAACCCTCTTATATAAGCTAACCTAGAAACCCACATCAATTAGGATATTTTACTTTCTCCCCAAGCCTAAATAATCTTAGATTGATTATACATACCTAAAATCTTTCTAGTTCCTAATTACAATCCTCATCTAAATTGGAAAGCATAAAAGATACATCATATCTTTTCCCCAAACAAATCTCGTTGGTATTTGGTAATTAAGTTTAATTTATTTCCTAACATATCTTATTACTTTCGGAAAATTATCGGCTTCGAAAGAAAAGGGGTTGAGCTGCTTCCAATGAAATTTAGGATGATAGCTAGCAATATGGTTGGATTTGTCTATTTTTACTTGTAAACTTCAATTTGTCTATTAATAGAATCATATCTTGTCATTGATATAAGGCCATCACGGGGTTTTATGTGACTAGTAATAGAATTGTTTCCTTGTTATTGATATAAGGCCACAACGAGCCTTAATCATGGTATAGTGACAATTTATTCACGAACTTTTATATATGTGGCTGGCTACACCATGTGACCGGGGTTACTCAAATTACTCGGTTAGGGGTTACTTGAGGGTCGGTCAGGGGTTACTTGGTTAGCGGTTATTTAAGGGGTTACTCGGTCAAGGGTTCGGTCAGGGGTTACTCAATCAGGGGTTATTTAAGAGGTTACTCCGTCAGGGCTTACTTAAGGGGTTACTCGGTTAGGGGTTATTTAAGGGGTTACTCGGTTAGGGGTTCGGTCAGGGGTTATTTAAGGGGTTACTCTGTCAGGGCTTACTTAAGGGGTTACTCGGTCAGGGGTTACTTGAGGGGTTCGATCAGGAGTTACTCGGTCAAGAGTAACTCGGATAACCCCTGACCGAGTAGCTTGAGTAACCCCGACCACACGGTGTGGAAAAAATCTGCCCATTTATTTATTTTCACATTGGTCAAGATATGGATTGTCCATTTATATCCAACTTTATTCCTTTGACCTAATAGAACGGGGTTAGGCTTAACATGGTCAAATTTAAATATAATATAATTGATTTTTTAAAATAAAAACTTCATAATTAAATTACTTGTATATGATAAAAATGTTAGCTAAATAGTTTTGTTCAAAGGAAAAAACGAACAATGATCAAATTTGTCATAAATTTAAAATGTGTATACGTCAAGATAAAATAGTTAAAAACGTAAATTTGAATTTTGTCATACTTAGCCAAATGACGCCAATTCCCAGAGGATTAATCCTGCAATTGTTGTCCTTCAATCTGTACCACTTTAATTTTAGAATAACGTAAACAAATTGTAAGTTATGTAATGTGTAGAGGTATAGTTCCTCTAATAACCCCTTGAACTTAGGACAGATCCTGAGACCCATAACGTTATGCTTGGCAATATGATAGAGGTGCATGCATGCATGACGCACCTTATTATTATTATTGGAAAAATTATCCAAAAATAAGATGTGATGATAATAAAACCCAAAACTTATCATGATAAAATGTCCAAAAGAGGAGGGACGACCCATTTGTATGATGAAAGACTTTTGCACAACTTTAACCCCGAAAATAAGCCTAAAATACGGAAATTTGTAGGAAAAACATCAATGATATTTATAATTATAAATAAATAAATAAAGATAAGTAATTTTTCAACGAAACTCAATCTATTCTATGAATTAAAAATTTAAGTTTCTAAATTGATGGACGGATCAGATTTCTATGACAGGAGAAAGATTTATATTATATAGATATATATTTTGAAATAGTTTATTTAATGTGAAGAGAATCTCAAATGTCTATAAAAATATGTTTCCAAATAAGTGAAGTAACCGCCCTCTCCTTTGTAGACCATTTGTAAGTGTTTTAGAAGAGGAGAAGAAAGATGAGTGAAGAGGCAATAGATTTCAATTCAAATTGCATGTGAAGACAATTTTAGGATGTGAAGGGCATAAATGGTGGAGGCTTATATGCCATAAAGCTTGGTTGTGTGACCAAAAAAATAAAAAAGAAATTAGAAGTAAAGGAAAACAATACATTAGGATCCCAACCCATAAGAATTTGCCCATGCAATTGCCCCGCTAGAGGATCCCATCATTCGATTTATGTGTTAATCCTCTTTCAATTAGCCTTACAATTATACTACATACAAGGGACACAAGTATAGCTCGTTTCGTCTACATAATCGCGATTTGTTTATGTAATTAGGTCACTTAGGGAGAGTGGTAAATGGATATATGTAGTGCTACTTATGCTAGATACATATAATCTTCCGAGAAGCTATAATGTATAACCTTCGTTTCCAAATGATAGTCCAAGAGAGGTTTTTAATTATTAAATATCAATACTAGTTGGTATATTAATTTGTGGCGCATAGTATGAAGATGGAGAGAAAGTTAATATATAATCCCTTGAGTTTGAGTCGTTTGAGATATGGGAAAATACCAACTTGTTTAGCTAGGATGGATTTTGTACTTCTATTTAAGATGTTCAAGTAGTTGTGTGGTAACTGTTATTTTATTGTTACAAAGGAAGACTTAGCTAGCACATGTACTAAAACCATATTTTATACATTAAGCAGGATTGAAGCTTTGAAGGAATTATATTTGTTCCTGTTGAGCTCATGAACAACCCACATGTGAGCATTCTCTTGTCCCTCACTAAAAAGACTAAAGGGGGAGTGTGTAGTGGTAATGGAACCCCACATTGAAAGAATTCAAGAGTTACCACCACTATATAATACTAAGGGGCTACTTCCCTCATTGCCATATGGTTTTGAGGTGGAACCTCCTTGATCTTGTAAAGTGGTGGACTTGCACTCTATATCCAGCCAATTTTTGAACTTCGCAACAATATATATCAAATAATTAAATCCTCAAATAAAATAAAAAAAAATTGAAGAAGAATTTCTGGGACTAGCCAAACGACAAGTCCACAAACAATAAAAATTGAGACACTAAAAGTTTTTAAATTGTATTGTTATTTAAGGTTTAGTAGCAATTTATTCAATGGTTGATACACATCGCAATGTTATTACAATAATAATTTTTGGCTTATTCTCTTCCTCGCTCGAAAAATATAGCTAAGCATATGATCACATCTTACATTCAATCTTGTCAATTCTAATCATTTTTTTTTTCTCATTTTTGGCATAGGTTTAATTACTATATAATCAGTACTTTTAGAATTTTAGTTTGTTTCATAATATGCTCGGTATAATTTGACAAATTTAAGGTAAAAAGTAGTAGGGTATGGAGTAGTTTTGAATCTTAATCACCAAATTCAATCAAAATTAAAAATGTTTGAAAATCAAATAGTATAATGTACTCCGTACAACATTTTTTTCTTCTTTCGTTTACACATAAAATATTTCTTAATTGACCTTGTAATTGTTTTATTTATCCATGAAAGTAAATGTATGTGCAAATAATAATAATGCCTCCGATTCGTTTCTTATTATGTACATCAAAAGAATATTTTATGTCTCACTATTCAAATCATACCCTTTTGTTGCAAGTAATAAGAAACGAAAGTAGTAATAATAAAAATTCTATAGGAAGAGAGCAAGCCTATATATACAGCTCTAAAAAACACGATTTTGTTATAAATTTTTTTTGGCTAGTTATACTCATTGAATCTCATTGAATGAGAAAAAAATGTAGTACAATTTTATAATTTTTTTTGGTTAGGTATACTCATTAGTCAAAATTATAGGTATAATTTTAGCCAAACGATTCGTATCGGATGCAGAATCAGAAAGCAAGCAGGATCGCTGCAGGATCGCACAGGATTGGATAGGATCGGTCAGGATCGTACAGGGTCGGGTAGGATCGGACGATCCTGTTTTTCACTTAAATTATTATTGGATTGTACAGGATCAGACAGAATCGTGCAGGATCGGACAAAATCGTGCAGGATCGGTCAGAATCGAGTAGGATCGGTTAGGATCGTACGATCCTACTTTTTACTTATTAAAATGAGCCTAAAGCAATTAAACTTTTCTCTAAGCTAAGAAAATTACTATCCAACTACTAAAACTGTAAATTTTACCATTTTTATGGCTTACAAAATGTAATCTAGTTATGTAGCAACCTTTTTATTACTCCTTTTATCAATTTTGTAGGATCTTATGATTCTACAATCCGATTTTACCGATTCGATCCTACTCCTCTCACCGATCCAAAGTAAGATCCCGATCCTGACAGCCTTGGGTATACTCATTGAATGAGAAACAATTTAATGAAGACTAAAAAAAATTGTCAAAGGGCATTATGCACTCCAATTCTGAAACAAATGAGCTATGATCTAGTACAATCCAACTACAAATTAAACAACATTTGATCTCTAATCCCTTCCTTAAACAATTTTTCATAATTAAGTTTAAATAATTCAGCAAATCATTAAGGCCGGTCAACATATCCTAGGCAAGTTATCCCAATTATAGGACTCAGGATTCCAGTTGCCATCATCTTCTTCATAGTTTGTATTGTCCACGGCAGTAAAAGATGGAGGTTGCGGCATTTGATCATCGAATCCATTGTAATTATCATCAATACTAACAGCAGAAGATTGAGGGGCCGAGCCTTCTGCACCGCCTTCGTTACACCATGAAGGAGCCTGGACAAGCGTTGGGATCAGCTCAAGGATGTTTGACAAGTCTTGACTATTGAAGTTCATCTTTTGTTCTTGACCATCCATCTTTTCTTTCTTGATTCCTGCATAAATTTTCCAAAAAAAGAGACCTCATTACTTTCAGCATCCAAACAAGTACATTGTAGAACATGTTATAGGAGAGTTAAGAAATAAAATAACTCAATAATTAAGCATTACTACGTCAGTACTACAAGATTAATTGAACAATGAGAACTATCTACGTACACTTGTTCTCACCAATTTTAACTTATAAACGTTTATTTTTTATCAATATAAAATAAACTAAAGAGAACATGACCATCTCATGACTTTATGATGTAACGATGAATAATAAGGTGAAGTTTAGTAAAAAAATAAATAAATAAATAAATAAAATACCACAATTGCATGTAACACCAAGAAATTAAATTGTACATAAGATATATGCTAATTTTGTATAGCCCATTATTAGTTGACTAATAGGAGAAACATTAGATTTCTAATTTTGCAAGAGTTAGCAAAGTAAAGCAATCTCCTACTATTGCTATATATAGATGTCATTAATGGAAGATTGATTTGGACTATTATAAGTGTGTTATATGTTGTATTCGACTAGATTCTATCTTCCATTCTAACCTTAGTGGGAGATTGTTTAGGTGGTTATTGTCCTAAAAAAGCCAAACTAATCACAATTTTTGGTCAATACTAAGAGTTTAAAGGATCCATTTCAATTAGCTAATTAAAGACGATGTGCTAGAATATAATGGAGAGAAATAAATATTGCACTGAAAATCATTACCTATTCTAGCCAGATTATGTTTTCAACTCTGACATCACCATTATAATATTAGTACTCCCTCAATTTCACACTACACGTCATAATTTAAATCAAACTTTTCCTGTTTTAGAAAACTTGTCAATTGATTATGTAAACTACAATTTAATTTTATGTTACATAGGAAGTATCAATCTAAAATTTTCAAATGTAAATTATATAATGCTCCCTCTATTTGATTTTGTTAGTGTAACTAATACAATCTCTTAAATTATGTCGATAAAATTTGTTACAGAACTAGATGTTATTAAAATATATCTTTAAAGGTGCCTTCATACAATTATTTTTTAATATAATTTATATTAAAATTTATTATAAGATAATCAACGGTCAAAACGTAACAACGAAAAATGAAAATTACGCATACCTTATAAAAAGAGACGCGGATTTAAGGGAGTATCAGTTGTTACTTTGTTAGAAAAAAACTAAATGTAACACAGAGTAATTGCCTATGTCTAAAAAAAACACGGAGAAATTGCCTATGTCTTAAAAAAATAAATAAATAAAAATAAAAACACGGAGTAATTGCCTATGTCTAATTCAAAAAAAAAAAAAAAAAAAAACACGAAGCAATTGCCTACGTCTAATTGAAATTTTTTTTAAAAAAAAAAAAAGAAATTACCAAAATCTATAATTGAGGGACCTATAAAAGATTGCATGAATTTCATTGGATCAGGTTGATCCCAAGTCTAAAATGTGAAACTAATTACTGTAGTTGTTAAGTAATCATTTTTTATTTTTTTTACGGAACTTAATAATTAATATCTAATTTTTAGTGTTTGATTTTACTTACAGTTTTTATTTAATTTTATTTTTTTTGTAGGATGGTAATAGCATAACAATTTTAGTAGCAAGACTAGCAACTATAAAGTACTTGTATAAACATGAACAAAATATTTATAAATAGCACAAAGGGTAGGGTAGTTATAGCTCACCATCAGTCCATCATATACTCCAATTAATTAAACAAAACATATAAATTAAACACAAATACCATTTATCCTACTTAATCACTTAAAACCCATTAAACACAGCTAATAATTAAGTACTAATAAAAAATGGGTTTTGCATGGAATTCATTTCATTTGTTTCAAAACTGCATTCCAAAATTACGCGTCGTTAGATTACACGAATCCGATAATAAGCTCAAGAGAAAAACTCACCATTGGAGGAATTCTCAGAGGTAGAAATATCCCAGTGAAGCCCAAAATCCTCTTCTCTTTCTCTCTTAACACCAACCTTAACATGAGATTCTTGCAAAAGATCATCCAACAACCCACTATTAGTCCGACCCACAACATTTGGATTATTATTATTATTAACCTTCACTTGATCATCTTCTTCCACCTTGACATAAACATTACCACCACTCTGATCATTTTGGGTTAATCGGATTGAAGGGAGCTCGAAACCGGGTCCACCGAACCCAAAGCCAGGATCGTAGCCGAACCCGGCCGAAAGGGGACCCATATGAGAGGGGGAGAAAACAGGATTACCCATGAATAAGGAGTCATTAGATGAAGTGCATCTTTTGAGGGAGTGATGATGATGTTGGGAAGGGAGGAGAGGGGGAGGATGGTGGAGAGAGAGAACAGGGGAGGAGAGAGAAACAGGGTTGAAGAGAGAGAGAGTTGGAGGTGGAGTTTTGGGAAGAGAGAGAGAAAGAGCGTTTGTTGAATGATGATCAAATTGGTGTTGTTGTTGTTGTTGTTGAGATGATGGGAGATCATTTGGGTAAAGTGAAAGACCTTGTCTTATTCTCCTTTTTACCCTTGTGTTCCAATAATTCTTGATTTCATTGTCCGTTCTACCCGGTAACTACAATAACATACATAAAATATCGTCATTTAAACAACTATTAACAATTTAATTAGTACTCTTATTTCACATTTATTATTGGATTTAATTTCAATTTCTAATAAGTATGTAGTACAACGAGATACAAGCGTTTATTATCAGATTCAATTTCAATCATACACGCTAATCATGTAGGTTGCACATTAGCGTGTGTATAATTAAATTTTTTCAAACCTAAAAAATATAAAAATTGAAGTTTTTCATTGCTAAAAATAAATGAAAGATAAAAAAATCAGGAAATAATGTGACAGAGTATTAACTACAGCGAAAACCTTAACCAAGGAAAAACAGTACAAGGTTGAATGTTGTTGTGTGAACCTTTACTAGGTGCCCAGGAAAATCTACAGCCAGAAACATGTCAGAAGCATGTCCCCAATTTTGATTGCAAATACTTTTTTTTTTTCAGAAAATCTTCTATTAAACCAAAAAAATTAAATTCAGAAATGAAATTAAAAAAAAAGAAAAACATACATGAGCAGAAATGCGGGCCCACTTGTTACCAAGCTTAGAGTGAAGATCAATGATAAGGCGTTCTTCATCAGCAGAGAAGGCACCCTTCTTCAAGTTGGGTCGGAGATGGTTAGCCCATCTTAGCCTACAACTCTTACCACAACGTTGAAGTCCGGTGTTTCTTTGCACCGCATTCCAATTACCTTCTCCATTTTTCTTCACGTAATCCATCAGCACCGTGTCTTCGGTTGCTGACCACGGCCCCTTCTTTAAAATAATCCCACCATCACCAACGCCGTCACCACTACTACCGTTTGTTCCTCCGCTTACAACTTCTAATCCTACTCCGCTTATGTTGTTGCTCATTAGAATCATCGCGGTTGGATGGTGTATGTGATGTGGGAGTTTATAATTTGATGTGTTTTAGGAGAAATTTTGTTTTTTTTTTTTCTGTTCAAGAGAGATTTTGGAGGAGGGGTTTGTGGTGTACTTATCAAGTGATGAGAAGACAGAAGAGAAATGAGAGAGAAAGGGGCAAATGAGGGAGGAGAGCATGCTAAGTGTTTATATAGGACTCTTGCCCACATGGATTTTACCGTATTTACGCGGTTTTTCTATTTTATTTTTCGTTAATATATTTTTCATGTCTTAAAATAATTGACCTTAGTGCTATTTTGTACATGTATGTCGATGTGCTAGTTTGACCTTAGTGTTATATATGTAGTATCTTTCAAAATATATAGCAACGTTTGATAAAGTATTATTAGTAAAAAATTATAAAAAAATGCTGATATTATGAAACTTTACATTGATATGCATGTATCTAGCAACGTTTTCATGATATAATTTGCTTTTAATAAGTTACCAAAACTCTATGGTGTATGAATAAAAAAAATTAAAAAAAAAATTAAATTAAATATGTCAATTATTTTGAAATGAAAGGAGTATAAGATATTTTTTCTCTATCTATCTTTGTTTTTTTAATAAGTGCAACATTAGATTATTAGTGATTAATCTTTATTTTATCATTTCTTAGATGTATTTATTATTTATAACACCAATGAATGATGAGGAAATAAATACTAGTATCATAGATTAAGATTTCATTAGATTATTTTTCAATGTGTATAACTTAAAATTGATTATAAATTATTTTATTTTCAACAATTCTTATGTGTGATCAGCCACATGATGTGACCGTACTTATTGATAACAATAACCCTTAATCATTAATATGTGTAACCTCAATTATTCATTAAGTAATTTCAAAATTAAAAAGGAAGTAATCCTATTTATTCATTTGAGGAACTCATAAAGGCAACCCCGTTTTCATATCCAAGGTTACCCCATTTGATAATTGTCGTAACTCCAATTAATTAATTAATTTTTTATATGTGAATTCCCGCACCATTCACTTATAGCGTGACTGACCCCATATATGAATTTGTGAAAAATATAAGGTGTTGAAAATGTGATATAGAGGAGACAGCTAAGCTTTTTTTAACATTCAATTATTAACGATCGTAAGATAATTATTATTATCAAGGAAAGATATTTTATTAATCACGAAATATTTGTTAGATGATATTATTTCCATACCAGAAAAAACTTTTCCCTACTTTATGGTTATTGGATGCCCGTAAAATGAAACATATGGCGTAAAATTATAAATGTGAATTTTATGAAAGTTTCAATTTAAATGAAATTCTCGTGTGATTTTTTTTTTATTAGAAAAAAATGAATTTCTTTTTTAATTTATAAAACAACATATCACAATATAACATTCATTTATAACTTTGCCCCTCCTCTTCCTAATTGTTGCCAGCTACTTATAATCTATATTTATTTATAAGTAGCACACGCTACGTAGCACTCTCTTCATATGTATCTTACAAGAATTGAACCTACAACCTCAAGTTTAAACACTAATGTGTTAGCCGTTAAGGTATTACCATATTACATGTCATTCAATCAAAACTAGTGAGTAGCCCGGGTGTTGCCCCAGATTGCTACTGTTGTAAACGCGCAATCGATAATTTTTTTTAAAGGCGGTTCAAAACTGAAATTGTCATTATCAAATCAAAATTGAGTTATTCTCAGAGTATTTTTTTTTTTAAATTGAACCTTGTGGTTTGCACTTATATCATTTATTTTACATATTAATAACATGGTTCATAATTGTCTTAGATGGTTATATAGCCAAGGATAGTACAAAAAGGATATAGTGTTCTAGAATATCAAAGCCTTTGAGAATTTGTGATGGATTGCTGTCAATCAAATTACTCTCTAGCACTAATATATAGTTGAAGGGGGTGGATGAAAGAAATGGCTAGAAGATTTCGAAACATCCTTCTTCATTCTTGTAACTATAAAAAATTCTAGATCTCTCATGAACCATTGTATCTAGTTGCTTTTAATTTTAAGTTATAGAAATATAATGAGCAAGCACTTACTATCTTTATTTATCCAAAAACTTTTAGAACATGCATGCAAAATTGCAAATATACACTCCACCAAGATACTAGGCTAAGAAAACTTGGGCCACACCTAACAATTATAATACCAATTAATGAGCAAATTAGTATCATGGAATTGACCCCTTTCAAAAAAAAAAAAAAAAAGTATCATAAAAACCAACTTCGTACATCACTAAACTTTTTTGTATTATCTAATGAAAAATATAAGGGTAAAAAATGTTGAAAATTCTAATGTAGTCTTATGACTTGTGACTACCACAATTTTTTTAAAATGGACGAATGAGATTGTTTATTTTTTTAATTTATCTTTAATTAGTAATTTAAATCAAAAAATATTTTTTTTTAATTATTATATATATTTTTTATATCCTGAATTTCAAAAATATTAAAAAATAATTTATGAAAGAAAAAATTATATTTAAAATATTAAAAAAATTATTTTTAATTAAAATTACTAATTAAAAATGAATAAAAAACAAATAATCTCAACCGTCTATTTTAAAAAATATTGTTAGTCAAAAGTAATAAGACTACATTAGAATCATCTAAAAAAATGTGCTTTGAAGGAGATGGCTAAGCTAGACTTTATTACCGTTCAATTATTGAAAATCAATGGACCTATATTTTTGATTGAGGAATCTAATTTAAGTACTCTATGAGATCGATGTGACTATATTTTACCCAATATATAAATTAATAGAGGTGGTCAAATACAAAAATGTGAATATTGTAATTTTTCATATCCCATGATTAGAATAGAATAATTGACACAGTTAAACTAGACACATATGTCAATATACTATTTTGACTTTAAATATAATTAAATATTAACAAAAAAAAAATTACATAAATTTTTTAAATTAATACCTATTTAACAACATACTTCGTATTCATTATGAAATTTGTTTTTAATATATTGGTATAAAACTATATTATCAAAGTTATTATATGAATAGTGAAAAAAAAAAAAAATCAAACCGTGTCAATTATTTTGAAACGAAAGGAGTATTACATTTCTTACATAGGAGGAAGTATTATATTAAACATTTACTATTTTGCCCCTTTCTTCATTATTACTCTGCTTTCCCTCCTTATTCTGTGCACAGCCACTAGGCTTGATAGCTAGTGTGTATTTTTATCAACTTGAAGGCAATTTTAAGGTTGTTATAGGTTTTAGCTTTATTGAAGGTCCATACCTTTAGGGACAATACAGTACATGATCTATTCTTCACAACTCTTAAAAAGAGATTTGTACAAATAATACCCATAAATCCCATCCCTTTGCTCTCTTTTAGTTTTTGCTCATTTTATTGGATGACCTATTTTGCTTGACTGTTGTCGTCTTGATTCATTGTTTTCTATTTTTTTTATTGTCGTATTAAATTTATTATTGATGTATGTATCGTGTTCAAAATATGTATTCATAGAGCATTGACATGAGCATTTTAATTATACTAGTATGAGTAATGTAAAATTATACTAGTATAAACATATAAACCTGCATGCATTCATAGAGCATTGAAATGAGCATTTTAATTAAAAGTGGACAAGCGGTATAAGTCCTAAAACTAGTATGGGCACATAAGCTTGAGCATTTTGCCTACCGTATAAGTACATGAATAGCATCACCAATGTTGTGTTGGCGCCTTGGCGGTATATATTTATTATATATATATATATATATATATATATATATATATATATATATATATATATAGGTGTTTTTTCTATATTTAATGTCAGCTTTGTAGACGATAATTGGGCTTGAACTTATGATCCAAAAGATACAAGGCGAGTTCTTTACCATCTCTGATCTATATGAAGCATATTTAATTTGCTATAAATAAAAATAGAAGAAAAATGTTGGTGTCATGGTATGACCTATATAAAGCTTCACAAGGAATTTTTATTCTAAGAGGAATTAATGTATAGCTCCAAACATATATCAAGTTTGTTAAAATTATCATATTGTATAGTTTGAGTTTCAAAATTCTGTATAAAATACATAATGAAAATTAACAAACAATAATAATTATATAAAAAAAAAAAAAAAAACTATTGAAAGAATACGCAAAAATAAACTTTGCCATTTCAATTAGGTGAAATTAAGTATGATAACTTAATTAAAAATAATAAGTTTAAATGGTAAGACTTCTAACTTGAATGACAAAATATGCTTTTAGTATATGAGAAATGCGTCACATGCTATCTATACTTTCTTCTAAATATAAATTATATTAGTATAATTTTTTTGTCAAGAAAAATGCAAGCGAAAGTACATATTTCTATTCCAGATCAAAGTCTTATCATCAATAGGTAAATAAGGGGAACCTTTTGGTGACAATGATTCGATCTCCTATATTTTGTCTCCAAACGTAACTTAGCTTAACAAGATTATGAGCCACAAAGTTGTATCCTTTTAATATGTGACCAAATGACTAATTTTCGATTAATCAAAAGTGGACAATCCAATTCCAGAATTGCATCGTCTATCCCAAATCTTCTACCCAATCTCAAAGCCATTACTAGTGCCTTAGCCTTTACGACTTGTGGTGGCCGAAAGGCTTTGGTTCTTCGATCTGGTTGCAGCGAATATGACACGGCCAACATGTTCTTTAGGCATAACAACTTTCGAAAGTTGTATTAGTACATATAATAGATGCTCAGAATGATGTTTGCAATGCTTATGCATCTTTGGCGCGGAAAAATTAAATGATGTCAAATTTGCATCATAAGATGACTTCACCAACGAAGAAAATCAAGATTAAAGGAAACATTATTTCAGTAAAAGACAAGGAAAAATTGTCACATAGTTTTCGTTTCTGAAGTTGCCATAATTTTTTCTTTATAAAATGAGCAAGGTAAAGTTCAGGCCCTTTTATTTTTCTCAGAGAAAACGTACTGTTCGTCTTTTCTATGCGACGTAAGGTATGCATTATAATATTTTGCAGTTTGCAATTACCCCCTCAACCATTGAGGAGAAGGGTAGGCACTAGGCAGTTAGATTAACCTTGTCCGTTTTAAATGTTTTGGAGCCCTTGTGCTACTCCGATAAAAATTGGATGGAACTCCCTTTATTCCCTATACATAAAACAATTATATATTACGAAGTATATATTTTGTAACATTGATAAAACTACGGAGTATTAGTTAATTACTTTTTTTTCCTGTTGAAAAATTATAAATAAAATTATTAAAATGAATCTAATGAAAAAAAATCAAAGATCTAAGATATAGCCTTAATACCGGTAAGAAAGCTAGACCAGAAGCAAATGGCTTTTTGCTACAATGCTACGGAGTAGTTAGTAGTAAGAGAGGAGACAATAGTAAGCCCCACGTATGTGTCCCTAGACTCCCTATTTGTCATCGACTCACACTAGCTAATCCAAATAACTCATTTGCCACCTCTAATTCAATCAAGTTTGTCACATATTTATCAGTTTACTAGAGTATGGCATGAGAATTTAGCAGCGAAGGCAAGAAACATAATATTATACCAGGGCCCTTCAATGGTTACCCTACTAATGATCATGGACATTGACAGCAAGTAGAGAGACAAATCCAATAAGCAAGGAATGTCAAGACTCGAGTATCATAGTAGCGGCAGAAACCAGCACATGTTCAGTTCTTATCTAAGTAGCTATAGTTAAGGAATCATATATACATGCTTCATAAACAAAAGCAGGCTTTTTTATTTTTTTATTTTTTTTTGGACAACGAAAAGCAGGCTTACAGAAGAAAGACTGCTTGGTAAAACAACTAATATCAAGAGAAACACTTACAGACTTACTAAGCTTATTCGCCAGTTGAATTTTACACTTGACAGATAATCAGTTCAACTAATACCAAGATTTCAATTCATTTAAGCTTAAAAAGACAATAGGAACGGCGAAAAGAGGGGATACCAGCAGATTTAACTTTCATATTGATCCCTAAATTCACATTCCGTAGAAGATTATACAAAATAGCACAATGCAAATAAGTTAAAGCCAACAACACCGCAACGGTTCCTGTGTACCAAAAATGTCTTCCATGGTTTCTTCACTCCCCAAAACATGATACTTACCAGTCTCTAGCGAGTAGAAAAGTATACTATTCCCTTTGAGCCTTGAAAGATAGATCCTATTCTGCATTCCAGCCTCTGTAATTTCTACTGAAAATGATGATGCATAACTTAAGAAAAAGCTATGGTTTCCAAGGCTTTTAACTTCAGAACAATTTTCCTCGAGAAGATTGAACTTGAACACTTCAATCCTATCTCCTACAAAACCATGAATAAACACAAAATACAGCTCTCCATCACTCTTAACCAAATAGGCCCTACTATAGTCACTGTGCCATATATACGGCCTTTTGTAAACCCTCCAACTCCCTTTACCATCTACTAATGTAAATGCTCCAAGATTTCCAATCTTGTCAAGAACATAGAATGTTCCTGCTAAATAAATTGGGCTGTTTGTTCCGAAGAAAAATCTAAGTCCATCATCATTATCATTAATGGGGAACTCAAAACTATCCCATAATTCATCCCCATATTTAATATGATAGATCACTATTGCATTATGGTAATAAGCAATTGCAACCGTGACACAATCAGTAGAAGTAGGGTATGTTGAGAACCCGATGCATGAAAAGTTACTAATACCAACAGTAGGAAAATCCCAACTCACTCTTGAGAAGGGATTGAAGTACTTTAACATTCTTTTAGAACCAACAGATATAAGTAACCACCCATCCTTGAAGAAATCGATAGAAATAGGGTCAGAAGAAAGTTGGAAAATGCTGGAACATGAATAATTAAGTGATGGGTCTATTATTTCACAAGATCTGCCATCATTCTTCAAGGCAACAAACAACGGAAGCATTTTACTAGTTCTATGTTGGGGTTAAGGAATTGCAAGTTGAAATGTCTAACAGCTAGCTCGAAAATTCCAGAGATCAAACAAATGCATATACTTCGAAATCAGCTTTCTAAGATCATGTGGAAGCTCAGAGAACCGTGACCTTTGTCCTTGTCTTCCCATCTCTTGTCCGTGGCACTCTTTGTTCTTTGTACTATAATTAATTATTTGATGGTCAAAACCTTCATCTATATTTTCCTTAGTCTGAGTCAATTCTTGACCTTTCATGTCTGGAACACCTAATAAACTATAAAAACACAATATAGGTTTGTATATATTAAAAAAAATAATAAAAATAAATAAAAATAAAAAATAAACAGTTTAGAACTTTAGATCAATAAAAACTATATTTTGTTTAAACTTTGATTGGACTTTAATCAGAAATAGCTTTTAACTTGCAAAATAATATACAGTTCAGTAGTCAGGTGAAGAGAAAATGCAGGGGAAAGTAACAATAATGCAATTAAAATCCTAACCTATGATGTTGTGGCATCAAATTCAGCCAAATAGGAACTAGATGGCTTGAAGACTCTGGGCGGGACAAAAACAAACTCAAAGTATCCTCATTCAGGCTGTAACAATAATATGTTTCAGAAAGCCTTTGATCATTGAAGTAGATGCAATCCCCTCGGGCGCATCCACTACCACCACCACCACCACCAGATGATATTAAAGAATTACAATTGGTAGTGGTGTTACTTCCCCAGCACCAGGTTGGCCTAAGAAAAAGGCGCGGCCATCTAAAGAATTCACCTTCACCCATTTCTTTCCCACCAAATCCAACTCTGAAACCTTCACCATGCTCATACGATAGTCCCAACAGCATCTATAAAGACATATATAGTATACATGACCACAAGATTCAACCAAATACTACTCCAATCTAATATAATTGGCACCACTTTTTGGCTGATCTATCTGCAAGGACTTGATAGTGAATGAGTTAGTAGCACCATTGGCAACCTCAATACTAAACAAAATGGGTTCTTCATCTCTAATACCACTTTCGTCATCATATCCATGAGCCCATGCCTATACAATTTTGTTCAATGTAACTACTTTGTCTACTTGAAACCTCTTGCCATCATACTCGAGGCTATGGATGACCCAATCACTAGAAGTGAAACTACAACCACTCTTTGAGGTGGGTCAATAAGAAAAAACTTGATCACCGAAAAATAATAAAACCACACTAACATTGTTACCAATACAATCTTTTTCAAGATCTTCATCACCATTTGATGTAATCAATGTGCAAGCTGAAATTATATAGAAGTTTTTTTGCAACGGAGGGAGTGATAAAAGTTCCAATGTGAGCGGATTCCATAAAAAGTAATGGAAGAACTTGGATACTATTTCTTCTAATAAGATTAACCAGCCATGACAAGAACCACAAATAGCTCTACCACGTAGTTGAGGGATACTCTTGTTATAATAACTATTGTGATTACCCTCTTCAATAGTGCAGAATGTTTGAGTTTTATTTAACTCATCATCATCCTCGCACATACCCCGGTACGTGTACACAAGATAGGGTGATCTCTCCGCAGGTGGAAGACTCAATATATCATCCATCTTCGAATTTTCCATCGATCAAGATAATATACAAATGAAGCTCCTCAAATTATCGAACAAATATATATTCAGTAGAATGTTGGCCTTAGCAACAATTACTTCTCCTGCTCAAATCAAAATTGGACTCATTAGAATACCATAAACAATGTTTCTTTTCCCACTGTATCTATCATCAAACTCAACAAATTAATTACATATTCCTATCTATCTATATTACTCGTACTCTTCATTATTCTTTAAGTACGGCCGTGTTGGATACTCAACACTCGAAGACACTTTATTTTGAACCAAAATTATGCAAAGATTATACTGAGTATTAAATAGAACAATTGATTGGCTATCCGAGTCCAAGTAACATAGTTCATACGTATAATTTAAGTTTCGTGAAAATTATCATACAATTGATGCATATAAACAAGTGCCCAGAATTACGGTATAACTTTCACTAAATCACTAAAATTTGCAAAATCCATCAATGTATCCTGATCAATCATAGATTAGACGCCAATAAAGGTTTCACCTTTAATTATAAATTGTAAATGGTCATATACAAGCGAATTAACAACAAATTGTAATAGAATAGTTCAGAAATTAGCGTGAATTAATAACTGAGTACATGAGAATTTGATCGGCAGTAAAATTAGCAAGCATGACTACGGGGCCTTACTGATTCAAAATACGGCGGTGGAGTGCTTTCCGGCGGAGCAAAGGTATTCGGCGTCGCTACTGGATATTGTAATTTGGAATAGGTACTATTTTTTGTTAGACCTTGGAGAAGGGCGAGTCATGAGCGGTGTTAATTCGGGTGACTGAGTTGGTGAATGAGGTTGGGTAGGGTTGGATCTATAAGTTGGAGTTTTGTTCGGGCTAGTTTTTGTGACTTGTAAGTACTTGTCTATCTAGTGGTGACAATTCGGACTCTTAGGTTATTGAGTCAATTTTAAAGTCAATTCTGATTTTTGGTTATTGAATCATGTAATCTATAAACTTATTCTGAAATCGAATAATCAATGACACTTGCCATTAGAATTAAGTATAAAACTAGTCCTTAATGCTTGGCAAAAGTTTGGATTTAGTCCCTAACGTTTGACTTAGATGAATTTAGTCCCTCATCCACCACTTTGGGGGGTCATTTTGCTAACTGTACCAAACATTACGGACTTAAGCTAATGACTGTGTAGATTCTATTTAATACATTGAGTGTACATGTATCATCTCTCACTAAGTATACATGTATCATCTTTAGCCATAACAACTTTCGAATTTAGTACATTAAATAGATACTCAGAAATTCACCAAATTCACGCAGCCTCACTCTGAGCTTTCCTCTCTAAAGGTTAGGTTTTTTTTTTTTTTTTTGAATTTTTTTTTTTTACGGTTATTCCAAAAATAAAACTTTACAGTATCATAAAAACTTAAGTTTTTACGGTTATTGTGTTTTTATGGTTATTCAAAAAATAAAACTTTACAGTATCATCATTAAGATTACGGTTCTTCTTTTAAAACTTCAAATTGTCACAATAATTTTTGATCAAATACTGGAATAACAAGTTCATTGGTATGTTTATCTCTTTAATTTTTTCTTTCTATTTCTATACTGCTGAATTGTTAGAATTGTTTCGTGCTAAATTGGGGGTTTCAGAGTGTTAGAAATGGTAAAAATACAACTTTTATTGAATGCGGGTCTCATAAATGTAAAATACCACTGAATAAACGATTTTTGTTTATCTCGAAGATTAGGGGCCCCCTCCTTGCGATTTCTAACCCATTTATAGGTAAGGTTGTATTCAATAATCGATACAAAAAACTACATCCAATTGTGGTGATTATTGTAGCGATTATAATCGCTATAAATGTTGAACTCATTTTCTTAAAAAATGAAAAATCATATATATGATCTTTACAAGATTCAAACACACAATCTCAAGCTTTAATATTAAATGTTTTACCAATAAGCTATGACATATATTATGTATTCTTCGTCAAACAATATTTGTATATCTAGTGTAGAAAAGGTTTTTTGTATCGATTTTTGGGTTTTAGTGCCGATTGTAAACGACACGATTTTCCATAAATTTTATAAATAAATGTGCAAAAAAAAGGGTGGATATGTGTTATTATGTTTTTCGTATCGATTTCATATGGGATTACCATGGCGATTGTAAAATGATACAATTTCCTCCACGGTTTCACAAACATACATGCATATTGTAGCGAATGTACAATCACTACAAAATAATCGTTACGTAAAGACAATTTTCTTGTAGTGTAGTGCCTTAATCATGACTTCATGAATTTATTAGTCACTTTCTATACATATCCTTGTGCTGTGAGTCATAAATTCATGAATTTATGAGTCATATTTTATACAGAACCAGCACACACATATAACTTAGAATGTGCAATAGCCCCAGAATTTCAGAATAATGAACCGGATAGAAATGATTAATCGAAATCTCCATCAGCACACGACAAATAGCCAATCGACTTGCTTTGTATTCACGCATTTTCTGTATGATAGTTCCAATTTTATACACTGAAATGCGTAAATTATTTCCAATTTCAGAATGTGTATTTTCATGCATTTTCTGTTGATTTTTGGTGTATGTTTTGATAGGCTATGTATAATAGATGTACAGATTAGATGCAGTAAAAAACAGCCTTTATTCGGTGTGATTTGTAGGTTTTGATCTGATTTTTTTTTATTGTAGTTTATCAACTGTTTTCGTAGAATTTCGGAAGGAGAATCCAAAAAAAGCAGTAAGTTGTTTTTTATTTTTTAATCACCTCTTTAACATCAATCAATCCCAAGTTAGTTTGTAAATTTATTTCTTGTTGCTGTTTTCATCAAAGCTTCTACGAGATCTTACGGGGAATTCCCTGTTCCTCATTGTGAGGAATATGTTTTGTTCCTAATAGGGTATGTGTCAAGATCTGAGAATTCCACTCATTACACATAGACGGTCCTCACAAGTGAAAAACATCACATTATTTTCCAAAATGCCATTATGAGGAACAAAAGTGTTCCTCGTAATGAGGAACTAGGGCTCCCTCAGATCTTACTGGTGCTGCCCTAGGGAAATGGAGTACCATGTCTCATAAAGTGCGTAATCTATCTTTGTGTTTTCCATGTAGTTAATATCATGTCTCATTTTTTTCTCCTGCCTCTAATATTTTCTCCTCAATCTGTAATAATATTTCTCCTATTTCTTTATGTTTCAGGATCGACGTCCGTATCTTGAGAAAGCCAAGGAAGCGAGAGCTGAAAAACGAGAAAATTGAGGGAGGGGGAATTATATTGAGTATGTCTCTGAGTATTTCTCCTATTTCTTTTATCTGCTTGCTTTTGCTGTAAGAGTCATTTTGGTTGCTCTGTTATAGATAACAGG